TTACGGTTTCCCATATATTTAACAATTGAGAATAAGATATAGCCTCACAGCTATTTAAATTAATGTAATGAAGGTGTAGCTGAAATAATCAAAGACTCGATAATATGAAATCTTTGGTAAATTATGAAATAAACCGGATTTGAACGTATTAACATGTAACTAAAATTAAATTTTTTGACTTAGACTTAAAATTGAAATTTCTTCAATTTTTTTTTAAATTTGTATTATTATAATAAGTCACCAGGCGATTTTTTAAATTTAAGCGGAAAAAATCACGTAATTTAAAGTGGCCTTTGTAAACATTCTGTAGACATATTACTTGCCACTTAACCGAATTCTTTTGTATATAATTTTTGTGAATTAAATAAAACAGTATTGTCGTTTTTTAAAATAGCGGCAGATTGCAACAATAGTTATTTAAATGAATAATTTTCATTTACATGAAAATAGTAATTAACATTAAGTCTTAATTCACATTTAAAAGTGGATGATAATTTTCTTTAGAGATCTGTCTAATGACTCGCTATTTCCAAGTTAAAATACTTTGAACTAAATACGGACAATTTAAAACAACAAAATAATAAAATAGATAAAAGGAAAAAGAAAGACAAAAGAAAAAATGAAAAAGTTACATTCACGATATCAGTTTTTAATTGTATGGGCATTATACACTATTCTCTAATAAGTTGTTTTTAACCATACATTTCCACGCTGTGAGTAATACTGTGGCATCCTTATAGTTTATACATCTGCCCAAAAGGTTACTTCTATAAATTTCAACTTTTTCCAAATTCATCTCTAATGTTGGTGAGTGTGTCGGTTTTGTAATGCTAGCTACCTCCCATTCTACCACTGATTTTTCGTTTTGCGCCATTCTAGACAAAGCCGTACAATACTACCCTTTTTCTACGTTATACATATGTTCTTTAAGACGTTTACTAAGGTTTCTGTATGTAACCTCTTTGTATTCTTTCTGCAAACTAAGTTGTTCAGTTTTCTACGGGATTCCGTATACTCCAGCCTGCTCTCCTTTTTTAACCTTGTCTTTATCATTCCTTAACAGACTATAAATGGTGGGCGCTCTGTTGAAAACCAACTTCGGGGTCTTTGTTGCCGGCTATTTCACTTATAACACCGGTCATTTCTTGTTATACGTAAACTAAGTTATTTTTTTATTTTTTTGTTATCATTCCCTTCCTTTGTATAATTCTTATCAATTTTTCAATTACAGTAGCTTTATATCCTAAGGATACAGCAACGTTTTTAATTCTATCCAGCTCTTTTATCCTGTCATATATGTTGGAGCAATAGATGAAGGCTCTTCTTATTAATGCTTTAAATGCCGATAGTTTATAAACGAAGTGGTCATTTGACTAAGAAGGAATATACAGAGTATCATGTGTAAGTTTAATATTTACATTTGTGTTCAAAGAGATGGAGAGAATTAAAAACTTTGCTGTATCCTTAGGATATAAAACTAATGTAATTGAAAAAAATAAATATGAAAAATTATAGATACATTTTTGCTTTGTTTTAAATGACCCGGAGTCATGCACATATAATTTTGCTTATGAATTATGTTACCGGCCAAACCCGATTTCAGGCCAAACTAGTGTATCCTACGCGTGTCAGAATATACTATATTAACCTAGGACAATATAGTTTGGCCTAAATACTTTAGGCTTAACTAGTTTGTCCTAGGCCGAACTGATTTAGAATTATTATTTAAGTCAGGCCTGGCCAACCCAAATTGTTTCGCGGGCCACTTTGATCACGCCTAACGTTACAATGGGCAACAATTTAGGCAAACATGCTTTTAAAAAAGTAAAACAAATACGAAATGAATAAGATTTCATTGTTATACCAAGAGTATACTCGCACTTGCGCATTATAACAATGACACATGCAAATTTTCATTTATTTAATTGTTTTGATATACACAAAACGGAAAACGAAAGATTTAATAGATATATAATATTAATATAGTCTTAAAGCAATACTAAAAAAATTAATATGTTGAGAGAAGNTTAAATCACCCGGAGTCATGCACATATAATTTTGCTTATGAATTATGTTACCGGCCAAACCCGATTTCAGGCCAAACTAGTGTATCCTACGCGTGTCAGAATATACTATATTAACCTAGGACAATATAGTTTGGCCTAAATACTTTAGGCTTAATTAGTTTGTCCTAGGCCGAACTGATTTAGAATTATTATTTAAGTCAGGCCTGGCCAACCCAAATTGTTTCGCGGGCCACTTTGATCACGCCTAACGTTACAATGGGCAACAATTTAGGCAAACATGCTTTTAAAAAAGTAAAACAAATACGAAATGAATAAGATTTCATTGTTATACCAAGAGTATACTCGCACTTGCGCATTATAACAATGACACATGCAAATTTTCATTTATTTAATTGTTTTGATATACACAAAACGGAAAACGAAAGATTTAATAGATATATAATATTAATATAGTCTTAAAGCAATACTAAAAAAATTAATATGTTGAGAGAAGTTGATAAAGGCTTAAAAACTGTAACAACGTTTAGAATACCCGTGAGTAGTTTATCAATCATAATAACAAATCGCGAATCAATTTTGAAATTAGCGGACAATGCGAGACGTACAAGAAAAAGTATTAGAACTTGTGTTAACGACGATGTAAAAGAAATTTTAATGCTAATAGGTACCGTATTTTCGCGGATTGTCCGGCATTTCGGTTTATCCGGGGAAGACCATGAAATCAGATACCACACCGAAATATCAGATATTTCGGTATGGTATCTGATTTCATGGTCTTTCCCCGGATAAACCGAAATGCCGGACAATCCGTGAAAATAACTTAATGTAGAAAAAATTACGTTAAAATAATACTTTATTCACTAAAAAGTGTAATTTCTGTAAAACGAAATTTTCCTAAGGCGATTTTTTTTTCAAAATTTGGTGACTTCGTTATATAAAACTTTGTAAATGAAAATATCCGCCAAATCGTATGCTTGCTAAGCGTGCAAAAATTTTAAAGTTTTTGTCGCCCATTTTGAATCACCCAGTTCCCCCTCCCCCAGTTGTCGTGTACTCTGTTAAAGATGCCCGAATTGACGGTGTACGACCAATAAATTTAGTTTTGATTTCGTCACTCAGTATTTCCGTATTTTATTTATTGTCTTCGTGTTTTAACTTATTATTAGGGCATTTAATTGTGTAATTTTTATCTTAAACTAGCAGATAAGTCCGGCGTTGCTCTGGCAGAAAGTAACGATAGCGAAGATTAAGATTATTACATCACAGCCAATCTTACTTGTTTTCACAGAATGCAAGAATTAGGTTCTCCTGTTTCCAGACTAATTAGAAAATTTTTAGATGGGTCTAAAATCATGTTCGATTTCCCGCATCTGCGCCTGTAAATCTTGCACGTTTCTTTCTCTTAACACTTCCATTGTTAAATGTACTTTGCCAGAAACCTTCGCGGGAGTGTATTAAACAAGTCCCGAAAGATTCATGGCAATCGGATAAGTGGTGTAGTAATGCATGAAGGACAGACAGATATACTTACATTCGTTTTTATCTATATCTATATCTATATCTATATATATATATATATAAATGGACATGTATGTCCCTATATTTCACTTTTTCGCAAAAACTACACATCGCACGTGAATGGTGTTTGTATGTGGTGGTAGCCCCAAGTCTCCATTCGTGCATAGGGGTGGTTGCGTCTCGATAGCTATAAGGGTGCGGGACATATGAGGCTGAAAGTGGTTGAAAGTGGCTTTCTATTTCGAATGTTTTGTTCGAATTTNTTGTTTTCATGGTCTTCCCCGGATAATCCGAAATGCCGATCATTTCGCGAAAATAACTTACTGTAAAAAAATTACGTTAAAATAATACTTTATTTACTAAAAAGTGTAATTTCTGTAAAACGAAATTTTCCTAAGGCAATTTTTTTTTCAAAATTTAGTGACTTCGTTATATAAAATTTTGTAAATGAAAATATCCGCCAAATCGTATACTTACTATTTGTTATGCGTGCAAAAATTTTAAAGTTTCTGTCGCCCACTTTGAATCGTCCAGTTCACCGTCCCCCAGTTGTCGTGTACTCTGTTAAAGATGCCCGAATTGATGGCGTGCGACCAATAAAATTAAGTTTGATTTCATCACTCAGTATTTCCGTATTTTATTTATTGTTTTCGTGTTTTAATTTATTATTAAGGCATTTAATTGTGTAATTTTTACCTTAAATTGTCTGTGTTTACTGTTTTAACTTTATCGAAATGAGTATTGTTTAAGGTCTAGCAATGAATTAATTCACTTGCCATTAATTACAGTATAATGGGAAAATTGATTAGGACGTCGTACGATTCGGAGTTTAAATGGAATGAATGAAATTCTTCGTATGAGGCATTACGGTATGCACGGACAAGAGTTGATAATGTACTGTACAGGTACAATACATCACTTTTGAATATGGTAACTTCCGGTAGATGTTTTTTCTTACTCCACTCCTAGATAAACTAACTAATATGCATTCTGTTTATTAGCTATTGATAAAGGAATAAATCATATAAAAAGTAAACTGCTTAATATTAATATGTTAAACTTTGTCAGTATTCACACAATAATTCGAAATTATAGTAGTTGAATGAAATTGGAAACGATTCATTATTTCCGCTAGAATAGTCAAAATAACGTCAAGTTTTATATACACAGATCGTAATGTGCTTTAAAATTTATCGAATATTGCTGCCAAATACGAAATCGAAAAAAGAAAATATAGTAAGATATTTATTTTTTCTCAGAATTTACACTCTTATACTGAATAAAAAAATGAGTTTGAGTATTGGTTATAGCGAATTAATCCAATAAGACATTTGCAAAAACTAAATGGTTACAAATGCTTAATAATAGATAACTTTTTCTTTTAATTATTATTACTTGCAATAGTTAATATTAATAATCGAAACATAATTCATAAATTAAATAACTTTTTCAAAGAAAAAGTACATGATGTCATAAGTCTTCATCATAATTATCTGAATAATGGAAACGAAGAACACGAACAAGAGTGCCGAATTTTAGCCACTGATAATCAATCGATATATTTTACCAATGGGAATTACAGGAAAGCAACATTTTTAGGCACAGAATTAAGTAAGCAATTTACTTTACTATTATGAAATATTTTAACGTGTAATATTTAACACAGACTTTTTTCCAGGTAAAAATCCATCATATAAAGAATATTCCAAGATCTGGAACAACGTAAATACAAGGACTGGATTCTGGTGTCGAACACAATTTACTTCATTCTCTGATATCTTCTCTATAGCAATAAATAAAAATGGTAAAGTTCGTTTTATAATAAAGCAAAACACACTCATTGGTAAAAAAGTTATGCACTAAGAAGGAAAAATTAGAATAGAATGAAACTTTATTAGTGCAAACGTAACGACGATGCAATAAGAATGAACAATTTTCTATGGAACGACGATACAATTTTTAACTAAATCTTTGTACTTTGTAAAGCCATCAACTAGAGAACCCAGACCAAACACCTGTGTTCAGTGGTTTTATCCAATCGGCCACTGATGGATTTCGTCACCAAAGACGATACGCTGACGATCTGTAGCAGACTGCTTCTCTGTAAAGATACTATTCCAATGTCGACGATTTTGTTGTCTTGATGCAAGGACGCGTAACGTTAGAAGAGCCTAAAGGACGGGAATTTCGGCGGAATGATCATTCTGCTTGCTTCGGCCCGATGATGAGATCTTTCTCAAACTCTGTAAGGCGTTCGTTATGGCTTTCAACTGCGTCGTACAGGCATGACTCGCGTTCAAAAATCTAAACACGACACCGAAAACACAGTAAATTTCTGCTAGCCTTATAAGATACCGAGTTAAAGAGTTTGAGACACTATGGTAGCATTAAATGGAGTACAATCAGATCACAACTGCAATCATTTGCATATTTGTCTTAGTTACTTAGAGATCTGGACAGGTCTAGCTTTTCGTAATCGGAGAAGTCTGTCTGGGTGCAAGACATTTTTGTCAATGAGTGAAATTTAACCATTCAGCTTATTTTTTCTGAAAAAGAAGACAGAAGCAACGCGTGATAAGATAAAAAGACTTTATTTAGTTTTTACGATGAGGATTGTAGAATGCATTTGTAGATAATTGTATAATGCGTAACACTCCTCTTCAGTCATCGATCTCTTACCATAATCGCAAAAATCCTTTCCGACATTTCTTACAGTAACGCTATGTGCATCTCTTTTAAGAGATTGATGACTGAAGTGGAGTGCTACATTACAGTCTAATTGCATATCATTGTAAAAATCAAATAATATTTATTAGATTGTGCGTTGGTTCTGTCAAATACTATATTATATATTGTTTGGTTCAGTCTTCTTTTTTAGAAGAACAAATAAAAGATTATTAATAGAGCAGTTCTAAACAATTGGGAATAATAATAATAATAAAATTATTTTAATTTCGGATTAGTTATAAGAAATATTATTTTTTGTTTGAAAATTTGTCTTATTATATCTTTAAATATTATAATTGAAACTATTGATGAATTTAACGATTATTATATTTTCCAGTTAATTTTATTAGCAAGAGATTTACAGTTACAGTAAGTAAAGGAGATTATGTCGATGTTTCTCAATTGTTAAATTTCAAAAATATCGAAAATAATGACAAACTGAAAATAAATGGAGTGAAAGTTGCAGGAAAATATTACAAGTCGGCCAAAGCAATTAGTATTTCCGATGCAGGATTGTTTAGTTTAATTGAGAATAATACTTTAGTGGCTACCAGATTAATAGTGAGAGGTATGTATATTTTTATTTCAGAAATTATATTTCCCTTTGTTTATAGAATATCAATATATTAAGTTTCAAAATATTGTATTCAAGCAATTGAAATTGAAATGAATATTTTCAGCATTTCCTTCGTTCTATCAACTCAATAGAATTTGAAACCAATTCAATTTGAAAGAATTCAAGAATGTTTAGAAAACAAATTTTTCAATCGTTAGTTTTAGTTAGTTAGTTAGTTAGTTTTCAATCGTTAGTTAATGCGGCATGCAGTTACATTTTAATCATTTAAATTAAAATGTAACTGCATGCCGCATTAATATTTCGTTTCCTTGATATTACAAATAACTTTCTCTCGAATTTAATGTGTTAGAACTGTGGAACGTTCGAAGTACAATTGTAGTATGTAGTATATTTCGAATTATAATTTTTCTTTCATTTTCTTTTCGTATGGATACGTAAACAGACATAGCCATAATAAGTTTGTTGTACATTTAGTATGATGTTAAGAATATAATTCTATAACCATAATACAAGAAAATAAAAATGTAAATTGTAATTTCAATATTAGTTATTCCTAGAACTGATATATTTTTCTGGTATTTCAGTATGCGAAATTGGAAAATATGGTCCTCTATGTGAATATAATTGCTCGAATTGTTTAAATGGCGGAGTGTGCCACGACATTACTGGTGAATGCATCTGTCCTCCGGGATTTAACGGAACATATTGCAAAAATGGTAACTTTATGTTGTGTACTAATATTAGAAGAAATACTCGTAATATAAATATATATAGGCCTAGGCCTATTAATAAGTAAATTAATCAATATTTTAATCGTGATATTTAAGGTTATTAAAATCACTCTGTAAATACTTGTCTCTTTAATCCAAAAAGAATTACTTCGGTTGACTATACCACAGCTATTTAGGTTAAAAAACTCCTTTATTGTTTTTTCATATGAATTTCGGGCTTTTTAATTCTCAAGCCCCTGGGCTTAAAAATCCTGCGTCAAGATGAACCTAAGGGCTGTTTGTACAGTACGTGGGTGGTGGCAGAGGAGATAGTGATGACAAGTATCTAACAAAAAACCGTTTATTGTAAATCAAAGAAACACTATACAAAAGTTCGTATCCGAGGTTGTGTTCGGATGCGATGATCGATCGGTAGATAAGAGGAGTCCTTTGTAGGTTTGAGGTGGACGGCGAATGATGGGCCCCGGGGCAGAAACGATGGGTGTCCGTTTGCTGATGAAGATTTGAGTTGGCGGTTCGCATAGACTTGGTCGTTATAAGCATGAGAGACGACAGTTGTTTCCGGCAACGCAGAGCTGTTCACAACACACAATTGGCAGGAAACTGCTTTTTGTGCGTTGACACACGGCGTCTCGGTTATTTCGAACGTTAACTGACCGAGCGCGATGTCTTTAATTGTCGGAGATTATATCAATCTTCATCTTTCGATCGGCCATACTGATTGATTTATTGATCTTCCTCATCCGCGCTTTCCGAATGGTTGGTACCTCGTTACTAAGCGCGACGGGACTCCTAACGACATTTCTTCTACGGTTTATGAATCTGCATTGCAGTTATAACTTAAACAAAGGGTCTTCGACTACAAACATTTTTTTTAACCTTTCTAAACAATTAAATTTTTCTCTAAATCAACTGATTTTCGCAAATTTCGAGACGGTTGGGACCTGTGCGGGACATCACTGAAGTGTGTGTACTTATGTTGAAACTTCATTTCGAGTGCCAGGCGTTCCGTCTTATAATTACTCTCTTATGTAAGTAACTATATTATTGTATTTTATATTGTGTATTATAATTTAATTATTGTAATATTGTTTTAAACAGCACTGAAGAGGGGCTAAGATAATGCATTAACTCGAAATGCATATGCAATATTTAACAGTTACTACAATAAAAATTATACGTCATTAACTCGGATAGTGTGAGCTGTGAGAAATAATCAANTTAACTCGAAATGAATATGCAATATTTAACAGTTACTACAATAAAAATTATACGTCATTAACTCGGATAGTGTGAGCTGTGAGAAATAATCAACCTCATTAACAGGATTGAAGTGATTGAAGATAATATTAATTTTTCTCTATTTTTAAATTGTTATAAATCAAATTACTAGATGCAAACTTAAGAATTTAATACAAGTTAAATAAAATAATACTCCGAAGATACTAGCATAAACAATATGTACTGTGATCTTTATTATAGATATTTAGGGCAACTGCAATTATAATAATTATAGATCTTATCCCCTAATAATTTACATTGTAAATATTTTATAAGAAATCTATTCTGAGGCTTGCAGAATCGTGATCGTTCTCAAAGTCGGTTCGATCGATTTTGATGAAACTTTGCCATTTTGCATTGATTACGATGTGAAATCCAAAAATACAATTAAAGATAGGGATCCACGACTTCGTTTTCCAGATATAAGGTCGTTTCACGAGTACGCGCGACAAAGCGATATCGCACAAATTGCGGCACTTCGTCGTGCGATGTTTCACGTCACTAGAACATTTTGTAATATAGAATTGAATTTGTTCTATAAATTTTCTGAAAATTTAATTGGTCGATTTTGATAAAATTCTGTCATTTTTCATTTATTGAAACCGAGGAATCCAGAAATGTCATGTGGGTTCATTTAAATGTAAAAAATCCAGCAACGAGTTGCTGAACTTTCTCGGCAGCCTTTAAAATTCTGGTGGCGCCATCTGTTATCATGTTTTATTAAAAGCTTTTATATTTTTAACTATTACAAAATGACAAAAAACTTAATTTTGCAAGTAGGGATGAGTTTTATAAAAAATGATAAATGCTAATGACATTTATCATTTTTTATAAAATGATAAATGGTATAATAGATAATAGGGATCCAGTGTATCTCTAGTAGAACCGGACTTAATGACGATTTTACTCGTCATTAAGTCCGGCCCTACTGGAGATACACTGGATCCGTATTATCTCCCTACCCCTCGACCTTTAACCACCAAAATTTAATAGCAGCAATTCCCCTAATAAAGAGATCTCCCTATAAAATTTCACAAAAAGTATAAACTTTATTAAGCTTCAGAAAGAATGAACAAAATCACCTAGAAACAATAACATCCATAAGAACAGAAATTACCTTCGAATTTTTTTTTTACATTTCTCTGTTTCAACATGTTCTAAATCCGAAAATGTAAAAATCTTCGGGGTGTCAATGTTTACCAAATCGCCATAGTTTTCCTCTGTTATAACAGCCGGAAAAGTGATACCGAAATATTAAAAAATCACAGCAATGTTTGATTGGTCTCTTTTGCTAAAACTGTTACGTGCATAATAGGAAACAGCGGCAGTTACTGCGACAGGAACGCGCAGAGACGATCTTCTATGTCGTCTACCAAAAGCCAGCATCCAAATACGAAATATGTTAAGCACCCTCGTTGATACTTATTTTAAACTCTCAATTACAAAGAGATAAAAGATTGACTGCTACAACTGTCAAGCCTGGAATCTAGTCACGTCCTATTCGACCAACAGAACATCGAACAAATATCCAACGAATTTCTTGGTTGTTGGTCGACATAACATAATCAACTGTTGGTAAATACTCGTATTTTGAAAGAAAATCAATTCTTTTAATATTATTGCCAGTTGTCCGCGACTGCTTATTCGTCGAATGTACGTTACGTTCGCTTATTTCGCAGCTAACCTCTTTCGAGGTCGTTCCACTGTCCGCAACCCGTGGACGCGCTCGGTGTCACCTGGCCGTGCCCACAAAGGCCGAGAGGCGCGTGCTTATTTAATGGCGGCACGTACTCGCCATATTGTGCTACCGTCTTAGGATTTTTGTGGCATTTTCTAGAAATAGCGTCGCCACTTCGCTATCCCACCACATCCTGATAGTATCACAATTACCTGAAAATAAAAGTTCTTAAAATTAATACTTACGTACAGTACCTTCACACCTACTGTAAACTTATACAGTATCTATTTCCTACAGAATCAGGCATAGACACCGCATCAGAATGTCAAATTGGTAAAGGAAGTTTCACTATTTTTCCATATAATTTTATCAATTCAATTATCAACATATGTTTACTAACAGTAGTAACAATAGATATATTTACTTTCGAACGGTAAAACTCTTACAAATAACAAAAATAGTCCAATTTCCCTGCTTAACTGTTGTAAAGCAGTCGCTTGGCATTCGGCTCGGTATATTCGAAATCCAACAGTAAGTTTCTGAGACGGCCTTATATATTCCGGACCTCTGGTCTCACCAAGTTAAATCTCAAAAAGTGCTTGAAAATAAGGAACTTACCTCTGACACTTACGACAAGTGTATCGAGTCGATGGGATTACATGCTTAATTTAATGGCGGCATGATCTCTCTATTTTATAGGATATTCGTGGCATTTTATAGAAACAGCGAGGCCATTCGCCCTCCCACCACGTCTTGATAGTAACACCGTCTCCTGAAAATAACATCTTTTACCTGAATATTATGAAAGTGAAATCTATAAACTTGTTTGCTCATTTTTGCTTTACAAATTTTGCTTTCTAATTAAATTGGATATTTTGTCCAAACTTGACGTAGGAAGATGATTAAGTGAAATAAACTAAATGTCAAAATGAATTAACAATAAATTTTTTTTCATAAAAATGTAGTTTTATATAAGAGTGAGCATTTACTTACACGATCGTCACGATGCTGGGCTGCAATTTTTTTATCAATTTAATTATCAACATATGTTTACTAACAGTAATAACAATAGATATGTTTACTTTCGAACGGGAAAACTCTTACAAATAATAAAAATAGTCCAATTTCCCTGCTTAACTGTTGTAAAGCAGTCGCTTGGCATTCGGCTCGGTATATTCAAAATCCAACAGTAAGTTTCTGAGACGGCCTTATAATTCCGGAACCTCGGGTCTCACCAAGTTAATTCTCAAAAAGTGCTTGAAAATAAGAAACTTACCTCTGACACTTACGACAAGTGTATCGAGTCGATGGGATTACATGCTTAATTTAGTGGCGGTATGATCTCGCCACGTTGTGTTACCTTCATAGGACATTCGTGGCATTTTATAGAAACAGCGAGGCCATTCGCCCTCCCACCACGTCCTGATAGTAACACCGTCTCCTGAAAATATCATCTTTTACCTGAATATTATGAAAGTGAAATCTATAAACTTGTTTGCTGATTTCTGCTTTACAAATTTCGCTTTCTACTTAAATGATTATTGGATATTTTGTCCAAACTTGACGTAGGAAGATGATTAAGTGAAATAAACTAAATGTCAAAATGAATTAACAATAAATTTTTTTTCATAAAAATGTAGTTTTATATAAGAGTGAGCATTTACTTACACGATCGTCACGATGCTGGGCTGCAATTTTTTTATCTTATTTTAAATTTATTTAAAATTGCAGCCAATTCCTTAGTGTTTACTTAAATTTATTAAATAAAATACTGAATTTTAGTTATATTTAATACTTAATAGAAAGTTGTACCTAGATTAATTGGAAATAAGCCTTACATTCGTAAAAGTCTTGTTTGAAATGAATGCTCTTTACCCCATGCAACAGAAGAACATCGGTAGGGCCTTTTGAACCTGGTTCCGAAAACACTTGTCTGCGAAATTTATTCCTGTATGCAGCTAAAAATATTAATAAATTGAACCTATATAAATAAACTTTTTGTAAACAGTAAAAAAGTTTTTATTTATACATTTTTATGGCTTTTGAAAAGAAAGGAGGTCGTGCATTAAGAACTGCTCTTGTCTGTTATTTCTCTCATTCCTTGGATTTTACAGTTAATTTCACTTATCCAATCAAGACCTCAATTTTATAGCCTAACAAAATATTTACGGAAACTAACTGAACGCATAACAAACTATTAACTTGTAAAATTTACTGTCACTCTCTCTATACAGTTAAAAATATATGATATAATATCAGTTATCACACGATTTACTAATTTATTTCAGTGTTTGGTTAGCTTTTCTTCCTTCTGAACGTTATTAATAAAATATTGGACATTACATTATAATTTTAAACATTTGTAGGTAATAGGTTGGACGTCTTTTAGTGTCCGTATGTCATTACGGACCTGTTCAATATAAATAAAAAGCAACATTAGATTACTTTAGGTTTCCGTTATTTGAGAACTAAAAGAAACAATTATAGAAATGTTTCTTTTAGTTCTATAAAAATATAGAACAAATTTATAAAATTTTTACAACGTCTTACTTTTAAATTCGTGGAGAATATCTGAAATGAACAATAAGGAACGCAACAAACAAATATTTTCTTATATGAAACAATACTTGGTCCATTGTTATGAATTTTTGTTACGAATGTAAGGTTTCAATAAGACAGTTATATTATTTATGAGTTTTTATTTATTAAACTGTTATTTTTTCAACTGTTTTTTCGAAAAAAGAAGAATGAGAGATTGCTATTTAAATAAACCAGCAACGAGTTGCTCA